TAATGAACAGGTATCTTGCCCTTAATATACCTCTCAATAGGGTCTGCTTAGAGAGACATAGGTAAAGCACACTAAAACATGACATAAAATGTTATAATAGATAGGGAGAGGGCAGCAGCTCAGAGAAAGGAGCAATCAACTCTATCTAGGGGGTCATGTTGAAGAGCAAGTGTCATTTGAGCTGGGTATCAAAGGCCACCTAAAAGTCTGGTGGTTAAGAGGCGAGAAGATGAGTGTGGTCTGGATGAGGAGGCAAGATGAGCCTGTAGTGATGGGAGCATGGAAGCAGCATAGGACCAAGGGGCTTACAGCCAGAGAAGTGGAAATGGGAGAGGAGATAAGGACTTTATCTCCATGATAAGAGGTTGAACATTTTCTTGTAATTGACGGGTAACTGGTGAATGATTTGAAGTAACAGACTGATATGATTACATTTTCAAAACAAGCAAGCAAGTCACCCTGAGGCTGCAGATGGAGGATGAACTGTAATGAGCAGCAATTCCCATACATTTATTAAATGTAATAGCTTAACACCTCATTGTGCATTTTTCAGGCACTGTTATGAGTGCATTACATATGTATTCTCATTTCATTTACATGACAACTCATTTTTACAGATGAATAAACTGAGACACATGTGACGCTCAGCTAATAATTATCAGATCTGGGAATAAAAGTAGGCAGTCTGGCTCCAATCCATCATCTTCACTCTCCTGCTTCTTAGTGAATGTCTATGATGACAGCAGCTCTTTGATGAAGATAGTAAAGGATAAGAGACACTGCCTTCAAGGAGAATACTGTCTGCTGGAATGGCAGCAGTCTGGGTTGGAGACAGGGAGGGCCTGAACCAAGAAATGAGGATGCATAGTATGTCTTGAGAACTATTCAGGTGAGATGAGAGGTGAGGGAACTCCAGGGAGGCTCAGGTTACAGGAAGGAGATGCTATTAGTTGAGATGGGCCAGAAAGGAGGAAGAGCACTGAGTCTGAGTAAGAAATATGCTGAATGCAGTTTGAGAGAGTGTTTTGGGGATGCCTGAGAGACATGCAGGTGGAGAGGTGTAGTAATGTGTAAGAAACACAAACACACTACTGGAATTCAGGGGTGGGGCCAGGATTAGATTCACAGATTGAGACCAGGTGAGATGACCTAGGGAGAGAGGAGAGGAGAGAGGGAGAAGAGAGGGAGGTGCCAAGTGAAATGATGAAGAGGTATGAAGAACACCATGAGAAAATAGTCCCTAGAGTCTAGGAATGGAGAAAGCTCTAAAAAGCAGGCTGGATCAATAGCAACATATGCCAAAGCCCAATTCCTTAGCCAGCTTGTCAAGTAGCAGGGTGTGGGTAGCAAAAAGGGTAAAAACATTCTTCTTATTTTGGTCCTAGAGATGCCTGAGCAGAAACAGAGATTATACCCTGATGCTGGAAAGAAGGAAAATATCCCATAATCAACATTTGATGATCCATGTTCATGAAAAAGCCCAGATAATCTTAGATTGCTGGAAATTGACAAATTATTTCTGTTTATCTATAGTCCTCAGAGACACACTTGCTGTCACTTGTTATTTTGGAGGCTTTGGCAATAATTCTGGGGTAGGGATTATATTATGCAGTGTACATATGTAGCAAAACATTGTGTGGGATCTCATTAATATGTAGAATGTCTGTATTTCTGTGTATCAGTTACAAATAAATAAAATAATTCTTAACAAGGAATTTATACTTTGAGTTAATTATTTCCACTCTTGCACACAGATCTGATTAGCACCAGATGCTCACTTTTTGCTAATAATTATTCATCAGTCAGGTGGTCTAACAGATATAGAACTAAGATAGACATTCTAAATCCTTATAGACTATAAATGATATTAAATGAATCATATTTTTCTCAGTGAGAATCATCTGTTAGAGAAATTAAAAAATAATAAACATCCAATTTTTAAAAACTTTAATTGCCTTAATCCTATTACATGAAAGACAGTAGCTTCAGATTTAGACTCTCCTGGTAGGCCCTACTTGCCTACATTTTAGCATTAGATATCCCTGCTAAGGCCTCCGTATATCAGATGCAGTAAAGTTCATCTCGGATTCATTCTCACCAGGTTTTCTCTGCCTTCATCAATTCAGGATTGTTCTCACCCGAGCTGACTTTTTGGTACCTTCTAAGCATGGTGCCTCACACGCAGAATGCGCTTGATAAATATTTGTTGAATAAATGCATAAACTGTCAGTTCTGCTCAGTGTAAGCCGTTCATGCCAGCACTCATTTTTCACTTTGTTTGGCCCCATTATAAATCAGATCTGAGCAGCCATGTGGCACACTGGTGACTCCATGGGGAGGCCAGGGGAAGGGAGGGGTCCTGACCATAAAGGGGAACCCTATCAGTCAGGCAGGGTGCTCCTGAGAAAGGGAGACAATTGGAGCTATATCTATACCTGTAATATCATATATCATATCATACCTATCTAGGGGGATTTTAAGGAATTGGCTCATATGGTTGTGGAACCCAGTAACTTCAAAAGTAAACAGGGCTGGAAACTCAGACAGGATTTCTATGTTATAGTCTTGGGACAGAATTTCTTCTTCAGAAAACCTGTTTTTGCCTGTTAAGGTCTTCAGTTGATTGGAAGAGGCCCACTTACATCCTTGGGAGTATTCTTCTTTCCTTAAAGCAAATTCGTTGTTGATATTAACCACATCTACATAATATCTTCAGAGTAATACCTAGAATAGTCATTGACCAAACATCTAGGGACATAACCTGGTCAAGCTGCTAGGAGCAGATGTCACTGGGTGATGAGTACTTGGGGCCAGGTACCTTCAGCCACGTTATTGATGGATCATCAGGTCACTAGAAGGACTCTAGCTCTCTCAACGTTACTAAGAAAATCAAGGCCAAAGCCTTGTTGTACCCCCAGCAGTGTGGTCTGGAGAAAGGCTGTGTGTCCCCATTTCTTTTGGATGTTCCTCCAGTGGAGGGACAGGAATCACAGTGAAAACATAGGTTTAAACACTGCTCTTTGACTTATTCGCATGTGGCTTTCTCCTAGAAACTGTACCTCAGATTCTTCACTAATAAAAGTAAAAGCAACACAGACCAGGGATTTAGCTCAGTGGTGCTGCTGCTTGCCTCGCAAGCGCAAGGTCCCAAGTTTAATCCCCAGTACCAAAAAAAAAAAAAAAGTAAGAGCAGCATAACTGTGTTAGTTTCCTAAGGCTGACATAGCAAAAGTCCACAACTGGATGACTTAACAGAAACTTTTCATCTCTCGGTTCTGGAGACTGGATGGCCAAAGTCAAGGTGTTAGCAGGGACAAACTGTCTCTGCAGGCTCCAGGGAAGGCTTCTTTTTGTCTCCTCTAGCTTCTAGTGGTTGCTGGCAATCCTCGGTGCTCCTTAGCTTGCAGATGTATCACTCCAGTGTCTTCCTTTCAAATCACACGGCCTTTTCCCTTATGTGTCTGTGTCTGAATTTCTCTAATTTTATAAGGACACCAGTGGTTGGGTTGGAACCTACCCATATCTCGTACAACTTCGTCTCAATTTGATTACATTTGCAAAGACTATTTTCCAATAAAGTCACATCCATAGGCCCTAGGGGTTAGGACTTCAATATGGATTTTGAGGAGGACACAATTCAATCCATAACTACAATCTATATCAAGGGACCTTGTACAGTTCTGAGGCATAGGAGAGGCTCAATGAGCGGGAACTAGTGGTATAGTAAAGAAGAGGAGGACACTGGCTGGGAAGGATCAAAATCCCCCTTACTTCACAAACCAGACACATCAACAATAGCGCTGACTATAATGACCAAACTTTTATATTTCTTTCTGTCTTAGCTTGGGGAGCTTGGTGATTTTGGTGTGTCTCTTCTTCCAGATTAGCCATCTTTTACCAGCTGGGTAGTGACCACAATGGACACTGAGGCCGAGTACAAGACAGTGCTCATTTGAGAAGCAAAGCCTAAGACACTGGCTTTGCACCAAGGGAACCTCCAATCAGGGCATAGTTCCTGATGCCCAAATGGCTGCCAGCAATGGGGGCCAGGATGGAACTGCAAAGGCAGACGGCCCTCCTTTTTCTAGGGCTGGGCGTTGGGATCTACTGAGAAGGGAGTCATTTCTTCAGGAGATATGTGGGGTGACCTCTGATATTGGGCAGCTTCCCGGTTCCAGGTTATGTTTGGGTGTATACACGGCAGCTGAACTGTGGACCTGAAGTAAGTAGAGGGCTGGGGAACTCTGTATGATGGCTATGTACTTAGAGCCAGTTCGGATGAAAAGATGGGAGAAGGTACTTCTGGTTCAGCACAGTAAACTAGGTGAAGTCAGCTATTTGGTGGCAATAGAATAATTGTCCAATTGATAGATGAGATCCAGCCAGGATCACTCATCTCCTGCTCATCCCACCAACCAGGACATTTCGGGGTCAGGCCTGTCCTTGGCTATCCACTGGTGTGTTCTCATACGCTCATTCTGGCCAACCTAGCCAGAGAAACAATTTTTAGTTTTTTAGTGGGGATGCAGAAGGGTACATGTGTCATTACATGGTCTGCTCTATATTCACCAGTACAAGAAATCAAGAGAGGAAGGAGTCTACATTTACCTCACCAGATGCAATGTATGGAGGGAACACAGTAGACCTAAGGGTTGAAGGAATCCTTGAGAATACTGGGGTGACTTTAGGCCCCAGGAAGAAGCAGAGAACTGACAGGTTCCATTACCAATGCATGACACATCAAGTGCTGACCCACCCCTCATGGACATTCCTACTGTATGAGGCAGAGGGAATTTTTACTGGAAAGCTCACAAATATGGCTTTTCCATCCTCCTGTTCACAAGATCCTGCAGCTGATGGGGGAAAAAATAGCCCAGCACATTTGCATTTAAGTCTTGAAATCCAAATATTTCTGTGAGTCATTTATTATTACCATATAACTCAGTGTTTGCATGCAAATAACTTTAATGACATAAATGCTTATAAAATAAGTCTCTTACCATATGAACTCGGTAAAGAATGCTAATTCCCAGCGTCATGAATGGCTTAGAGAAATCAATCACCTTCTCGCGCTCTGCTGTAATAGTGAGGCCTGCCACAGCCAGATCTGCTTTCTGGAAGGAACAAAGAGAACCCATCAGTGGAGCAGCCACATGAGGTGGAACACAGGAACTTGTCACCAGAGGCTATCTCTGCTGACAAGATGTTACTCCAGGCTTGCTTCTCAGCTCAGGGAATGACTCTAAGGAGATAGAGCATAGCCCAGATCTGAAAAATAACTCTTAAGAGGAAAAGATGTCAAAGCTGTGACTCATGTTCATTTGTGGCTAGATCCCTCTAAAAACACAGGTGATTTAAAACTGAAAGGGATCACAATCTGAGTATTCATATACAGTCTCAAAATGTCCAAAAGTAAGGACTTAGAGGGTGAGCACTGGGAGATAGGCTGCTGAGTTCTCCATGTTCAGTATTTTTGACTCAATTTATTCATTTGTTCAGTTAACACAACTTTAATGAGTGCTTGTAAAAGTAAGACCTTTCTGTGTGGTGGTGGTAGGGATTAGAGTGAAAAGTAAAAATGCTAAAGCCATGGGAATTACAAACAATCTAATGCAATTCCCTTCATTTCACAGAGAGGAAATGAAGACCAAGAAACTGAACAAGTGGCCAAATGTCACGCAGACCATCCTTGCCAGAGCTGGGGCTGGGATGCCCCTTGATCATTGGCCACTTATGCTGCCATGCAGGTAGACATTCAAGTGTCCCAGGCAGAGCCAAAGGAAAGATCTCATATACCTTTAGTGCCAAATAACCGGGATTTATTATGAAGAGCTTTCTTTCCTTTCTCTTTGCTCCCAATTACACTGTAAGTGCCCACTTGTGATGAGAGTCTGGCCTGAATTATGGTCCTCTGGATAAGGAGATGCTGTGGCTTCCTCACTATTCTTTGTACTCATTCTGTTGAAATCAAGCCCACCTCCTCTTGGTCTGCTCTCTGACATCTAGGGCTGTGGGAAAGCTCAGAGCTAATTCTGGGTTCCAGTCTATGTTCTGCTCCAACTAACCAGCCAACTGAGGCTGGTCACTTTGCTTCTCTAGTCTTCTTTAACCTCACCTACAAACCATGTGAGTGTGATTCTCAAAATGTAGTCTTTGGGCCTTCTGCCTCAGAATCACCTGCAGGACCAATGAAAATATGAATTCATGAGTCTCATCACAGACTCCTGGAGCAGACGCTATGAAGGGAGGATGGAGGACTCTACTGCATTTGCAACAAGTTGTACAGGTGATTCTAAATTACACAAATATTGAAGAACCATGTTTATAACATAGGGACTATATTTCAAACTGCTGAAATATAAATCTGGAGATCTACACTTCAGCTTCTTTAAGTCTTTCTTCTAATGCTGGCAGATCAGTTGATGCAAAAGATGTACAAAGAAGTGAAGAAAAGTGGAGTCTCTAACAAACTACAAACAAGCCAATCAGTTCAGAGTGCGAATACACACACACATATGCACACAAATACACACATGATTCTTGCTAAACCATTGCAAAGAAAAGAAATAGACACACTGCCCCTCATTTTACTCCCCAGGGAACTACAATTTGGGAGCTGGAAGGATAATCCAGTGGCCAAAGCCATTTCCTCTACATCTCAATATCAGTCCTCCACCCTCTAGGCACAACCTTTCCCCAAAAGTAGTCACGTGAGCCAGTCAAGTTAACACACTTAGACCCTTTTAAAGAAAAGCCATCCTTAAAAGAAACTGAATGAAAGAGATTTTCAATAAAAAATGGAGGTGATAGACTTATTCTGTATTTCTTTAAGAGAGCATTGATTGCTGCTATCAAGTGAATCAACCCTTGGGTTAGAGAGTGGGCTTTGATTAGAAGATTGTTAGTAACTTCATTTTGAGGGACTCTTTAGAGGATTGCTTGGGCTTTTCAGAAACTCAGCCCCTCAGTGACAGTGACATTGTCTTGAATTCAGCTTGTGAGCACAGTGTAAAGCAACAGAAGCCGCCTAGAAAGGCCTGGCGGATACAGTGCCAGTGCCAAGCACGCAGGTCTGCTACAAGTTCATGGCTCAGTCCTGCCTGAAACCCGGGGAGCTGGAAACAAGAGTTAAAAGGGTTTAGGTGAAGGAACTGAAGTAATGATTAAGAAAACTGCAACTGATAAAATAGGTGAGAGGTAAGCACAGCATCCAGTCCTTTCTCTGGTTATTAAAAATATATATACAAATCAAGTAGTCAAAGTAAATGACACTGTCTTCAGATTTCCTTTCCCTACACTCAGCTTCCCTCTAAAAAGGGCAAACTTTGGATTAAAATTTGGAAATCATTTCACAAGTGTATAGAAGTTGGCCAACAATGACATTTTGCCAAAACAATTCCATATGTCCATACAGAGAGAAAGCTGGAAATGAACTACGTCCAACAACCAGGAATCTCTCCTACATACATGTAGGATAACCACCTGCAGAGAGATGGGTGCCCAAGCCCAGACAGGGCATTGCTGTCTAGTCACAAACACACACAGCCCTGCACTGGGCCAGACATTCAACCATTTCATTCCCATACTGCTGCCCCAGCAGGCCCAGCCCATATCTCTGTCATTCTGACATATCTCCTCCACCTGCCCCGGAGGGTAAGCAGCTCACTGCGGGGCAGGGAAGGCAGGGAAGGAGATGGAAAGGGCAGAGCAGCAGGCTATAAGAAACCATGGAGGCTTGGTGATGGTTGTTTTTTATATTTAATTGACTCAGTAGAGAAGAGTAATTATCTACCTTGACTTCAGTGTACCCCAGGGTGCCAGCAACAACCACATGGGATGAGATTATTCCAAAAAGATGTGTGTTCATTTTCTTTTACCTTAGTTAAAAAGACATTGTGCTAAAAAGCAGCCTTCAGATGAGGAGCTAATGTGCCATGAAACCTAAGGTAAAGGAAAGGGGGCTGGGGCAGCAAAACTGCTAGGAATGGTTGGCGTGGGAGGCTTCAGGGAGTGTGGGCAGGTCAGCAGCTTATGCAAGGCTTCTGCTCCTCTGGACACTTGTGGGGGACAGAAGCTGTGCTCCCAGTAGAAAGAGACATCAGAGGACCTAGGTCTTGTCAGAGTGGGGCCCCAACATCACCGTGACTGACCTTGGGAAAGTTATTCCTCTCTCTAGAATGGTCTCCCCAACAATTAAGGCTCAGATAGAGAGGCCTTTGAGCTCTTTCCCAGCTGTGAACCCAGCAAGTGGCTCTGCCCGGCTCCACAAGGTGGGGTTCAGATTAATTGACCCTCCTCTGTTAAGAAGATGATGGGAGTCAGCAGAATCAACCGGTGCAAAGCAGATGAGGACAGGGTCGGAGGGGGAAACTGGTTACCAGACTAGTCAGCAAGTGGCAGGGACGTCTTATTTTAGGGAAAGAAACCCTTGAAGGCTAGGAATCTAGAGGAGCTCAGGCCTGAACCCAGAGCCTGGAGCTGGAAGAGCTTAAAGGACTAGGAGCAGCAGAACTCCTAGGTCTGGTAGGTAGGAGCTGTGCAAAGCAGAGGTCTGGACAGGGAAGTGGTAAGAGCTGTGCACAGGTCTCAGGCTGTTCCCAGCAGTGGCACGGGGATGTGTGCACAATCACATGGGTATATACATTCCCCGGGAGAGACAGGCTCTCTGCCTATTCTTGATGGAAAGTGTTCTTTGAAGAGCTCTGTGTGCTGCCTCTAAAAGATCTCTGCTTTTATCTCCTGGATGTTTGTGGAATTTACAAGGGGAGGACAGGCGAGAGTCAGCCTGGAGGTGACTTCCACAGGATACTGCTCTTTGTTTCATGGAGTTAATGGGGGTCACACAAATGCCACCACAGCTATCAAAGCCCAAAGGCTGCTGTGCTTCTCCTGGGACCTAGGCCTGGCTGGAAGGAGGGCAGCATCTTTGGGCAGGGCTCTGATCTGTATTGCCTGAGCCTGTTGCTCTCACTGGCCTCCTGAGAATAATACCCAGGGTCTGATGGCAGCAGCAGATCCAGGACCACCTGAAGTGGACAAAGCCTTCCCTGGTGTCTTTGCTTTCTTTCTTAGATAGCTGCTGCCCCTTTTTGGGCAAAATCTTCTCCCTGTGCTCAGCAGGGCCTCAGACTTCTGCTCCTCCACCTGCCTCCTCTGCCCACCTCCTCCCTTACCCATGGCTGGGCTAAGGGGAGGAGAGGGACCCATGGTCCCTCTTTCTCACCAGCCATGTGTCTGGGAATCAACCTTCTCAGCCATAAAATGGGCAATGCCTGCCTATCAACATGAAGTAGGAGTCAAGAGAGATAATGAGTGTGGAAGTGTCTTGAAAGTTGTATGAACTGTTCAGTGCTGCTATGTCCAGTAGAGGGTAGCTGAGACTTAGCCTTCAGTGTGGAGCAGACCTGTTTAGACTGTTAGCTGCTTGCTATGTGACCTCAGGCAAGTAATTTCTCTCAGTCTTGGTTTTCTCATCTATAAAGTGGGAACAATACTAACACTTCCCTCCTGGAATTAGAGGCAGTGGGCGTGACAGCACCCTAAGTGCAGTGCAGAGGCCTGGTTCCACAAGCACAGGTATTTGCTGAGGAATGTGGACAGTGGCAATATGATGATTGCAGACTTGCAGACAGATCTCGGCCCGTGACAGGCTGCAGGTGTCAGAGATGGGCAAGCCTGTTCCAGCGTTGCACAGGCTGACCATGCACCATGGCCCCGGACAATCAGCCTCTGGGTGTTTTTCCCAGGTGATCTTGACATGCACACTGTGTGCCTCCCATGTGACTGGCTGTCTCTGTAGCCCACACAGAGACTCTCCCAGGCCTCAGACTGGCCTGCCCTTTGGAAAACTCTAGGAAAGAACCAGTGCCTGGTCATTCTCCCTGGTCTCTTCCTTGTTATATGATTCTCCTATGGGAGCATGGATTAAAAGGCCTCCCCAGCTCTTTTTGAATCCTCTCTTGGATCCATTGTGCTCTCTGATCAGCTTCCAGCTCTTCCTTCCCTGGATTTTCCACATTAGCACCCAGCTTCCAGCCCCCAGGGAGGCTGGCTGCCCCTCCAGGGCGCAGCTCTGGACACCTTCACAAGCCACCCCATCCTGTTCCACCCACTA